TTTTGACTTTGCTCATCAGTGCGAGTTTTTTGACTTTGGCTATAATCTTGCTTTCTATTTCGCTATATGCTGCTGTAAAATTAAGTAATTTTTTGTTACTATTGTTATAATTATTAGTATATTATTTTTAGATTATTATTTTAGATTTTATATTATTATCTTTATTATTAGTTATTTAGTATATATTTATTATATATTATATATTATATAAATACAATATTTCTACTAGGTATGATTAATATATTGGATTAGCCTAATTAATTAAAGAAATTCGAGTAATAAGAACAATTTAAATAACAAAAGCAATTTGAGCAACTAAAGCAATTTGAGTAACTAGAGCAACCTAAGTGACTTGATCAAATATATGAGACATATTTGATGGAACTGGCAGATTTTATTTATTGTTTACTTTTATTTTTTAATATTTCAAATATGTATAAATAGAACAGTTGTTCTTCTCAGCTGTCCAAAAAATTTTCAAAATTTTTTTAACTCTTTCTTATAAAAACCTATTTGAATTTATTAATCAAATTTCATACTTTTGATTTTAAGAATAAATCTTGTTTAATTCTTTTACTTTATCAATACTAGTATATAATAACTGAGACTACTTTCCTTTAAATTAAATATTTCTCTATTATTATTGTCTATTGATTTATTTATTTTAAGATTTATTAAATAAGTTGATATTATTATTTATTGATTTATTTAATTTTAAGGCTTATTAAATCAAAATTTTCAAATAAATTTGGATATATAATAACAATGGCATACATCCTAAATAATACATCCAGTATAGATTAACAATATATATAATAAAAAACAAAATTAAATAAGAACAAATAGAAAACAAATAATAAATATTAATTAATACAATTAATTAATACAGTATTATACTACTTATAAATATATTTCTTGTAATATAAATAAGTTAGATATCAATAATAATCTCATATTTAGCTTAAATCCTGAATATTATATATCATATAATTTGTGTCATATGATTTAGAAATATTATAAAAATATTGATTCTTAAATATTTCCATTTTCAAAAGTTTTAAAGAAATATTATTTAAAATATTGCATTTCTATTATTAAATTTCTTAACATAAACTTATTGATGTTACTTATATTACCTTTTCATATTATTAATTTGTATATAATTATATTTTCTTTTAGTTAATCTGATTTTTTTTTGTATTATAATAATAATTTTATTTTAAAGACAATATAATAACTATTTAACTAAACCAATTACTTTTCTTTATAAAACCTATTATTTCAAACTTTATCAAATATCTTCTTATTAAAAAAAGACTTTTCACCTTTTTTTGACAAAGTTTTAAATTTAGAGATAAAAAATTTTTATACACACAATTATTATATAATATTTTTTTATAATAACATCTCAAAAAAAAAAATTTAGTGAAAAAATACGTTATGATAAATAACCATAACATGTTTTAATTGTATCGATTATAATTTTTCAAAAATAAAATAATAAAAAATAAGTTATATGTCAAATTATTTATTTCCTAAAAAACAACACCGTGAAACTTTTTAAGTCAAGATCAAAATTGGAATTAAATCTTATCGTATTCCTTAAAATTAAAAATTAAATTTTCTAATGCAGTATTTGTAAAATATATTTTAAAAAAATATGACAAAGTTTTTAACAATGTCTTGTGATATGATAATTAATAAAACATTTAAAATTATAAACCGTTTAACTCTCTTGTTTCAAAAGATCACCTGTAAATTACTGTATGGCATTTAAAAAAAAGGTCACTAAATTTTTAATACCACAAACATCTTTTTTATACTTGAGAGAAAAATTTTACTTTGAAACGAAAATAAAATATAAAGTTATTAATTTAGAAACACGAAGAGAGAAGAATGCTATGGAGTTGCGGTACGTTTAGTGTTAGAAATAATTATTTTGGAAAAACGATTAGAGAAATTCAAAAAATACAATACAAAATAATCTTTGCCACGGCATCTTTCGAATCACAAATCTAACTGTTTTTTTTTAACGTTTACTATACATTTTCTTGATATTATGACAATTCAATTCTATTTTATCTAGTGATGATCATGGTGATGAAGCTGTATTTTCATATCAAACACTTGACCTATTTTACTTATAACTAGAAGTATTTAAAAAAAAGACAATTAAAGAAAAATAAACAGTGCCTCAATGAAGAATTTACATTACAATATGAAATTAATTAAATAATTATTTTCGTATAAATTAACATCCACTCCCAATCATTACCAGGGTAACGATTCTTTTCTCCTGATCAAATTACTTGGAGACAGAGAATTATTCGGAAATGTGTTACTACTCAGAAATTCGTCATTCTCACACTCATTACTTGGTTTTCCTGGTGGGAATGTTGCCGAACGCGTAGAGGATATTAATGGCACCGAATCAATAGAAATTAGCGAATCGACAGTAATCTTGAGGTTCCGCTTTTTATTTTTCTTCTTTTCTTCGTGATGAGCTCGCGCACATTCTGTTTCATCGGGCAGGATTACAATATACAAAGGAAGCATGATGATGTAAATTGAGCAGTTAGTGTAAAATGAATGATATTGATAGGTTTCAACTCGTATAACTTAAATACCTTGTAAGTGAGCCTTGAGTTCCATCGAATAAGAATAATCTAGCGCCGTCCATCCTGCATTATTCTTAACAGCAAATTGGCATCCACGTTCGATCAACATCGCCACTGCCTTGTACGTATTTGAATAAATAAGTATATGACCGTTCGGTTAGTCATACTCGAGTAATTTCTTATATTACCACCACAAATTTTCACAACCATTACCTTATATCGTTCCCAAGCTGCTGCACTATAAATCAAATAAATGAAAATGGTAATTAAACTGAATATTAAAAAAAAAAACCTAAATTACATTTACATACTAATGGAGTGTGGTGTTTCCGTCCGCGTCGGTTTGGTTTATGTCCGACCCACATTCTAATAAAAACTAGTAAAAATGATAAATAAAGAAATGTTAGTCTATTTAAGAATATCCAAGAAAGGTTTAATAAGAATTAATAGATTGGCAAGTCATATGAATTGTTTCTTCAGCTACCAAGCATCATACGTACATTAATAGAGTCCAAATGACCAAATTTGCATGCATATATCAACGCTGTCATTCCCTTCTTGTTTACCATAGTTAAACTGTATGGGAAATGTGTTATGTAAATCTTCATGATCTATACGGATGAATAGTAATTATTCCTTAATGTGATTTCTTAAATGCAATATGACAGACCTAAATGTTAGTTAAAAGTTACCTCAATGTGATTATACTGTGCAGCTATCATAAGAATCGTATTATTATCAAAGTCCTATAGTTAATGTAGGATGTTACTATTATTCAAATGAAAATTAACTATATCGAGCATATTTGTCATGGCTCAGCTAAACTCACTCGCGATAATTCTATGTCTTCATGACCATGCTGAATCAAGTATTCTACAATACGGTTATGCCCGTGACATGCAGCATACATCAAGGTTGTCCTATTTGTGACGATTTAGCGAAATTAATATTTGTAAAAAAAAATTTTTTTTTTGCGAGAATATTCGGAGAAAGATAAAAAAGATAATTCATTATTTTTAACTCGAAGAAATATATATAATATACGTAAGACGAAAACAGAAAATTTACCATCCATTCTCGGGGTCTGGATTTCGTATATCAATCTTACAGGAGAGTTGTTTGAGTACGTGCAAATTCCCCTCCCGCGCTGCTCTTCGAAGTCGTAATCGAGGATTCTCCACGGGCATTGCAATGTAATTGAGAGTGAGATTAAACAGAAGTGTACTCCGGGTATTGATTGATTAGAGAAAACTAAACAGGATGGCTTGATAATCAAATAATGGATGGCTTATGAAACAGTGATCGTTTAAAGAGCGTATGTAATAACACTAATACATAGATCCTCAATAATAATTTACTTTAGAAAAATAAAGATAAAATATTAGACATATAAAGAGTAATTGTTTGAAGAACGCAAGTGATGACAAGAAAATAAAGAGATGAGTTGCTCTTTGTAGTATGAAGTAAGGTTTTGACTATTTGAATGAATAAAGGGTGAAACGATATTTCCGTATAAAGTGTTACAGAAAAATCCAAATTTGAGATACAAATTAGATACTCTGTAACACATTACTCATATGGAATGACGGTAAATTAAATTCCTCAACATATTAACAACACAAAGGTACTTGTATGCTTATACAAATAAGGAAAATTATTCAAAATATTGTATGAGTATGCCTATTTCTAACACATAATTACACAAATCTAATTTCATTGTTAAATCTACCATGACATTTAGTGTCCAAAATAAACTATACATAATGTCGATTGTAATTAAAACCACGAGTGCGTACGCGCAAAAACGACATCAAAGAGAACGTATTTAATACTTCGTCAAGATTGTTTATAATGCATGAAAACCTATTGTGTGTAATTCAATTCATGCATTGAGGCTCCCGACAATGGTAGCGTTGGCATTTGGAAGATTAAATATTTGCGATACTGTATTTACTTCTAATCATGAAATAAATGTTAGAGAGTTAAAGGGTCAAGAAAGAGATAGAAAAATTGGTCACGATCGTCTGATTTTCCTAATCTACAGATTAAACTTATGATCGGTGCAAATAAAAAATAATCGTGTACTGTATTTACACGTCTAAAATGCAAATTAAAAAAAATTAGTTAAAATTGTTTTTTCAGTGATAAAAATTACATTCGAATGAAATCATCATTAAGCAATTTTATAAGTCGAAATTATATATGCTAGTTAACATTGAATTCGAGGACAAAAAAATCATTAATTAATACGATCGTTTATATCGATAATCTATTTTCATTGAACTATACTAAATATATACAAGATGTATTTTTTTAAAGAATAGAGATCAATTAAATCATGTGTTTATATTACAACAAAAATATGATTATAGCTTAAAAACTTATTACGTAAAAAATTAATATATATATTTTTTTAGAAAGAGTTAAAATACTTGATAATGTAGTAATATGACAGCCTTTTTTTTAAAAAAAAATATAAATAAAAAATTACGTATATGAAAATTATCTTTGAAGGAAAAATTTGAAGGAAATACCGATTATGATTTTTCAATTCTATTTTCAAAGAATACGTATATAACAAAATTTTAGATCATATGGATAATTATTTTTGAAGGCGAAAAAAATGCTAGACATGATTTTTTCGGACTCAACTTTTAAGCAATACATATATAATATAAATTTTAGGATCACACCAGAAAATTTCCGGTCCACCTTCGAAAATAATTACCCATATTTATATGCTGTTTACCTTCAAAAAAATATAACGTATGTATTTGTCATTACTCCTTTATATTCTAAATATTGCTTGCGAGAATACTAACTCGTTATACTGCATACCGAATTACACACATTGTTTGTATTCTTATACCACGTTTCAGTTAAAAACATAAGATTTTTTAAAGGACATATAGGACAAGATATTTTGATACACCATATTGTTTTGGTGTTGTGATAACTGTAAGGTGAGAAACTCATCGGAATATGCTTGGATGCATAATTCCATCTGAATTCACCCAACTTAGCTTCACATTTCATTATATGTTCAATTCCAAAAACGAATAGAATTAATTTGTTAATCACTAAAAGTTTTAGTGCTGAGGATTGAACAATTCGATTCGATTAAGGAATTTTGTGGCCGTAGGAGGAATGCGGATTTTGATTGGTGAGTCTGAGTTATGGGATTACGTCAAAAAAAGTAAACGGAGATCGTTACTGAGAGAGCGACGTCAAACGGCAAGAATTTTGTCGGAAATATTACAATTTCAAAAAACTTTTATTTAACAATAAATATTTTTAATCCTAAATTTATATTTAAAATTGATATAGGTTCAATGTATAATACAATATATACTTTATACAGTAGTTTTGGTTTATTTCAATAATAATTATAATAATAGTATATATTTTTTAATGTGAAATAAAATTTTTTCTCGTAATCTTTATTAGCATGATGAATTTTTTGTTACGTGATTAATATTAAGACATTAAAATACATTACTATATATGGTGCCTTACAAAATTTTATTTACATGACTAGAATTGATTTTGAATTTTTTTATTAATTGTTATAACAAGATATAATAGGTCAGTCATTTTTGTTTTTATTTATATCATGTAATAATAAGAAAAAATTACTTCTTAAAAAAACATGTATTTGACTTGAATTTAATAATAATACAAGTTGATCCATCAATTTTACATTATGAACAACAATTTTTTACACGTTCATTTTTTTAGCTATTATAAAATATCTATAATCTAACTAATATAAGTAAACATGAGACTAATATTTGCATATTAAAATTTGATAATTGAATATTGTTTAAAATAATTATTTTTTAAATATTTTTTAAATTATTTTAAACATTTTAGCAGATCTTATTATTTATATATTTATAATCTTTTGAAACAACATTAAACAAATAATCTTAAATTTAAAAAAAATTTTAAATTTCTAAAAAAAATTAAATATCAAGAATTATTTATTTTGTTTGTTTTAATTTTAAAGATTTATTTTAGAAAATTAATATCATATTACAAAAAAAAAATTCTAAATCTAAAATATTTATTTATTGTAATAAAAAATCAAAGCTTTAAACAAAAAATTTGAAGATTAAAAAAAACTTAATATATTTTAAAATATATATTCTCTTTACAATTGTAATAAAAAATTATAACTTGAAAAATAAAATATCTTACTTAAAAAATTCTATACTTGTTTTCTTTAATAAATTTATTTTTTCTTTTTTATTTAATTAGAGATTTTCTTTTTTTAAAATCTATGAATTTATCATATGAATACAATAGTTGCTAAACATGTTTAATAAACAAGTTATAATAAACAAAAAATACTTAATAAGCTACTTTCATTATATTATATTTTTTATTTATATTTTAATTTATACAAATAGAAAATTGAGTTATCAAAATATTTATATTTATATTATATAATATTAATTAAAAAAAATATTAAATATTGTCATATATTATTTTTATTTTAAAAAAAAATAAAGAAAAAAACTAGTAATAGAAAAACACTTTATTTGATAGAACCAATATGATATGCAAAAGTTCTTAAAGTGTATCAAAATTAATACAATTCTGTAATATATAAAATTAACCAAAAGAAACATTGTGATTTATTTTAATAATAATTTATTTATTTATTCAATAAATGATAATTCAATTCTTTTTTTTTTGTTATTTTTTAATATTCTTTAAGAACTTGAATTATTGTTTTTCTATTTTTCATTTTATTTATCTTTTGAATATGATTTACTATATAATTTTATTTTACTTATATTAAATTAATAATATAACAACAACTTCAACTATAGAAATAATTAATAAATGACTAATTGTTGTAACATGTTTTTCAATTTTCATATTTATAACTTAAAAATAATTATATAATATATTATTATCTTATTTGATTAGATAAATAGAAAAATTGGACAAAATTTTTGATTATATTAAAACTAGTAATTGAAATTTTTTTGAGGGTTTTAAATACAGTTTTTAATAAAAAAAACAGTGGATATTTTTTTTAAAATTATGTATAAATTATTTGTTTATTTATTATTATTTTTTTTAAAGATAAAAGTATAGGTTTGCAATGTTTTATTAATAAGTATCTTATATCAATTACAAGTTACAACAATAGGACTTGTACAAGTTGATATATTATATATTTTATACAAATTATTCTCTATATTCCACCTTATATCCAGTATTTAGAAATCTATTGCCTTTAACAATTTTTTAGATAATATTAGATAGGAATCTATAGGATATAGAAATTCTATCACTAGTTTATACTATCTAATCTATATAATTCAGCTTTATTCAAAAATAACTTAATTAAGGAGATTAATCTAAGTACCTTTTTATCTTATTACCCAGACTTCAAATCACACCTATTGATCATTGGCTTCATTTGTGAAACTATAAGTCTTCTTATTACCTGTAACTAGTTATTTCAATCCAATTAAACTCTATACTGGATTGGGATATTCTAGGTTAGGGTTTTAATTATTATTGAAAAGAGTGAAATAAGATTTAATTAGGATGAAATACAACCTAGTCTATTATACATGTTTTCTTATTATCATAAAAGAAAATTTAATTAACAATATGATTCTAAATTAAATACGATTTCTAATTACTTACCAATTGTTACTTAGTAATATGAACATAATACAGTTTTTGAAAAATATCTGAATTAAATATAAACACATATGCCTAAACTCAAAAAAAGTCTTAATTAAAAAAGTTGAATATATACCTCTTGGTTTACTATATTATTCAATCACCATAAGCTTGCTTCTAGCAATTATTATACTATTATCTAAATAATTATTATATCATAACATCTTTTCTGGAGATCACAATCTCAATGTCTACTGAATCAGTATATGAAATGATTTTACATGAAAAACAGCATATCCCTTAAATTGTAATGCAGGCAAATTT